AGGTGAAAGTGTATAAACTAAGGGAGGAGGAAGTTCGGGGTGAGATATAACGACTTTTGGGCAGAAAGGGGGGCTATTTGCAAAGATGAGTAGTGGGGGGGGTAAAGGGGTTGGAATAGTTTTAAAATGCAGTATTAAAATGTGGGGCAGAATTTTTGTGGTTATGGGAGGGTGGGGGCAGGAGGAAAGAGGAGGGGTTTGGGGTGAATGATGAAGTAAAAGGGTGTGATAAAAGAGAAAAAGGTAGCTTATGAGAGGTTTTTACAAAGCAAAGTGTTATAAGAAGAGCAGAGTATATGGAGAGTAAAAGAAAGGAAAAAGAGAGTGGTGAGAGAGTGCAAAAGGAGAGCAGATGATAGAGGGGGAGAGGAAACTGTCAAGAAATTTTAATGAAAATAAGAAAAAATTTTGGAGTGAGTTAAACAAGTTAAGAAAGCCTAGGGAAAATATGGTTTTGTCATTTAAAAAAACAGAGTAGGGGAGTTTAGATGGGGAGATGGAGGTATTGGGTAGATGGCGAGAATATTTTGAGGAATTTTTTAAATGTTAAGGAAGAAACAGAGGCATTTAATTTCATGCACTGGTCGGGGAGGTATACCATCTTTTAGGAGTGAAGAAGACAGAAATTTTAAGTGTGGGGGAGGTACGTGAGGCATTACGTAAAAGGGAAAGGGGGATAAAGCAGCTGGAACTGATGGGATCATGACAGAAATGTTAAAAGCAGGGGGGGATATAGTGTTGGAGTGGGTTTGGTACTTTTGTTTAATAAATGTAATGAAAGAGGGGGGGAAAGGTACCTAGGGATTGGCAGAGAGCATGTATAGTCCCTTTATATAAAGGGAAAGGGACAAAAGAGACTGTAAAAATTATAGAGGAATAAGCTTACTGAGTATACCCCGGAAAAGTGTACGGTAGGGTTATAATTGAAAGAATTAGAGGTAAGACAGAATGTAGGATTGCGGAGAGCAAGGAGGTTTTAGAGTGGGTAGGGGATGTGTAGATCAGGTGTTTACAATGAAGCATATATGTGAACAGTATTTAGATAAAGTAGGGAAGTTTTATTGCATTTATGGATTTAGAAAAGGCATATGATAGAGTGGATAGAGGAGCAATGTGGCAGATGTTGCAGTATATGGAATAGGTGGTAAGTTATTAAATGCTGTAAAGAGTTTTTATGAGGATAGTGAGGCTCAGGTTAGGGTGTGTAGAGAGGGAGACTACTTCCGGTAAAAGTAGGTCTTAGACAGGGATGTGTAATGTCACCATGGTTTTTAATTATTTATAGATGGGGTTGTAAAGGAAGTAAATGCTAGGGTGTTTGGGAGGGGGTGGGATTAAATTATGGGGAATCAAATTCAAAATGGGAATTGACACAGTTACTTTTTGCTGATGATACTGTGCTTATGGAGATTTAATGAAAAATTGCAAAGGTTAGTGGATGAGTTTTGGGGAAAGTGTGTAAAGGTAGAAAGTTGAAAGTGAAACATAGAAAAGAGTAAGGTGATGAGGGTGTCAAATGATTTAGATAAAGAAAAAAATTTGGGTATCAAATTGGGGAGGAGGAGTATGGAAGAAGTGAATGTTTTCAGATACTTGGGAGTTGACGTGTCGCGGATGGGTTTAGAAGGATGAGTTTAATCATAGAATTGATGAGGGAAAAAAGGTGAGTGGTGCGTTGAGGTATATGTGGAGTCAAAAAAAAAGTTATCTATGGAGGCAAAGAAGGGAATGTATGAAAGTATAGTAGTACCAAAAAACTCTTATATGGGTTTTGAAGCTTGGGTGGTAAATACAGCAGCGATTTAGACGGTTGGAGCAGCGGAGAGTCCTGTTTAAGGGCAATGTGTGGTGTAAATATTAGCAGAAAATTCGGAGTGTGGAAATTAGGGGAAGGTGGTGGAGTTAATAAAAGTATTAGTCAGAGGGCAGAAGAGGGGGTTTTTGAGGGGGTTTGGTCATTTAGAGGAATGGATCACAGTAGAATGACATGAAAGCATATAAATCTATAGGGGAAGGAAGGCGGGGTAGGGTCGTCCTCGAAAGGGTTGGAGAGAGGGGGTTTTAAAAGGAGGTTTTGTGGGTAAGGGGCTTGGACTTCCAGCAAGCGTGCGTGAGCGTGTTAGATAGGAGTGAATGGAGACGAATGGTACTTGGGACCTGACGATCTGTTGGAGTGTGAGCAGGGTAATATTTAGTGAAGGGATTCAGGGAAACCGGTTATTTTCATATAGTCGGACTTGAGTCCTGGAAATGGGAAGTACAATGCCTGCACTTTAAAGGAGGGGTTTGGGATATTGGCAGTTTGGAGGGATATGTTGTGTATCTTTATATGTTTATGCTTCTAGACTGTTGTATTCTGAGCACCTCTGCAAAAACAGTGATAATGTGCGAGTGTGGTGAAAGTGTTGAATGATGATGAAAGTATTTTCTTTTTGGGGATTTTCTTTCTTTTTTGGGTCACCCTGCCTCGGTGGGAGACGGCCGACTTGTTGAAAAAAAAAAAAAAAAAAAAAAAAAGTCTGTTGAGTGTACCTGGTAAAGTGTATGGTAGAGTTATAATTGAAAGAATTAAGAGTAAGACGGGAGAATAGGATAGCAGATGAACAAGGAGCTTTAGGAAAGGTAGGGGGTGTGTGGACCAGGTGTTTACAGTGAAACATATAAGTGAACAGTATTTAGATAAGGCTGAAGAGGTCTTTGTGGCATTTAATGGATTTGGAAAAGGCGTTATGACAGGGTGGATAGGGGGGCAATGTGGCAGATGTTGCAAGTGTTATGGTGTAGGAGGTAGGTTACTGAAAGCAGTGAAGAGTTTTTACGAGGATAGTGAGGCTCAAGTTAGAGTATGTAGGAAAGAGGGAAATTTTTTCCCAGTAAAAGTAGGCCTTAGACAAGGATGTGTGATGTCACCGTGGTTGTTTAATATATTTATAGATGGGGTTGTAAGAGAAGTAAATGCGAGGGTCTTGACAAGAGGCGTGGAGTTAAAAGATAAAGAATCACACACAAAGTGGGAGTTGTCACAGCTGCTCTTTGCTGATGACACTGTGCTCTTGGAAGATTCTGAAGAGAAGTTGCAGAGATTGGTGGATGAATTTGGTAGGGTGTGCAAAAGAAGAAAATTAAAGGTGAATACAGGAAAGAGTAAGGTTATGAGGATAACAAAAAGATTTAGGTGATGAAAGATTGAATATCAGATTGGAGGGAGAGAGTATGGAGGAGGTGAACGTATTCAGATATTTGGGAGTGGACGTGTCAGCGGATGGGTCTATGAAAGATGAGGTGAATCATAGAATTGATGAGGGAAAAAGAGTGAGTGGTGCACTTAGGAGTCTGTGGAGACAAAGAACTTAGTCCTTGGAGGCAAAGAGGGAATGTAATGAGAGTATAGTTTTACCAACGCTCTTATATGGGTGTGAAGCGTGGGTGATGAATGTTGCAGCGAGGAAAAGGCTGGAGGCAGTGGAGATGTCATGTCTAAGGGCAATGTGTGGTGTGAATATAATGCAGAGAATTCGCAGTTTGGAAGTTAGGAGGAGGTGCGGGATTACCAAAACTGTTGTCCAGAGGGCTGAGGAAGGGTTGTTGAGGTGGTTCGGACATGTAGAGAGAATGGAGCGAAACAGAGTGACTTCAAGAGTGTATCAGTCTGTAGTGGAAGGAAGGCGGGGTAGGGGTCGGCCTAGGAAAGGTTGGAGGGAGGGGGTAAAGGAGGTTTTGTGTGCGAGGGGCTTGGATTTACAGCAGGCATGCGTGAGCGTGTTTGATAGGAGTGAATGAGACAAATGGTTTTTAATACTTGACGTGCTGTTGGAGTGTGAGCAAAGTAACATTTATGAAGGGGTTCAGGGAAACCGGGAGGCCGGACTTGAGTCCTGGAGATGGGAAGTACAGTGCCTGCACTCTGAAGGAGGGGTGTTAATGTTGCAGTTTAAAAACTGTAGTGTTAAGCACCCTTCTGGCAAGACAGTGATGGAGTGAATGACGGTGAAAGTTTTTCTTTTTCGGGCCATCCTGCCTTGGTGGGAATCGGCCAGTGTGATAATAAAAAAAAAATAAAAAATGCTAAATGCAGAACAAGTTAGCTTATTACACATGCATAGTAAATGATTAACTAATACAAGGCAAATAAAAATAAATTACTACACGAGGGTTAGACAGCAAGCATAATTACACAGCACAAATATTAACAATCAAATGCAAAGCAGCTCCATGGTAAGACACCCATGGCAAATTCCATGCTGTGGCAATCCCGTAGTTTCTCGTGGATACTACCATTACCATGTCAAACACTCGTGTTAAAGAGTCATACACACACACACACACACCACACCCACACGTTATGTTCCCCCAGCACGGTTACCCATCCGATGTGTGTGTGAAGAGGTCCAAGAATGCTAACGTACCTTCTGCAAAGAAAAACCAAGAAAGGTGATAAGCATTCTAGCAATACACTAATCAAGCGGGACCTATGATCAAACTTACCTCTTTGCTCGAACCAGAAAATACTTAAAAAGAAAAACTTGCACATCAATAAACAATTTTGTGGGAAGTTTCAGGTATTACTGCTCAAGTGTAAATCTAAATAAAATTTCATTTTTATTTACAACTTACACTTACTCGAGATACAGTATAATCAAGTTACAAAATTATGAACCAATTTCAATGGCGAGATGAAGTATATAGTGAATGTTACAGGAAAAACTAAGTTCTTTTCGTGAACTTGAACAGATTACCTGTGAAACTTCACAACACATGCATCTACGTGCACTTACATAACACTGAAACTTACAAATACTTTGGCCTCAATAATTGAAGAAGATTGCTTTAACAAATGGTACACCATCAACCCTCGGTCTATCCTATTCTTGTATAATAAATACTATTACAAAAATATTCTTGATTTGCACATATAAAACCCTAAAACTGTTGGACACCACCACCAGTGTTGGACACCACCACCAGCTTTGGACACTACCACCAGCTTTGGACACTACCACCAATGTTGGACACCATCAATGCTGGACAAGATTACAAATTAATGAGGCCAAAGTGGCTGTGAAGAATAGTAGACCCCAGAAAGCTTGACAAACAACGTCTACCTTTTTAGTAGCAGCAGCCAACTTAGCCTTTGCCGTACCACGCGCCTTCTTCATTCTGTTCTTGCGTTCCTTCCTCTGCTTACGAGCAGTTTTCTTAACTTCTAACAATCCTTGCTGTGGAGGAACCAACACTATTAACTCCAAAATAAAAATCTCAAAAGAAAAACTTTTGATGAATATTAATCAGAAGTTATGCTCGCTTCATGTGTCGTCTGCCGGCATTTCCTATCATAAAGGGTCATCACAGTTTTTGGATTCCTATTCCCCATCTAAAAAGTTTCAGAGCTCAATACATCAAACTATTGTTTGTCTATACATGACTGCAAACGTATCAGAATTGGCAATACTGTACGCCAACTATTATAACAAGTAATGAAAATACAGATGCAACTAATGCAACATTTTCTTGTGGCAACATTTTGCGCTCCAGGAGTTTTGTCAAGCTGTTACGAAGTTCCTGGAGAGCGAAATGTTGCCCCAATAAAATGTCACATTAGTTACACCTGTGTCCTTTTGCCTAACATTCTGTAGGTAGTTCTGCCATTACAAAGGTATACTGTTGGAATTACTTACTCTTACGAGGCGATATTTAGGCTCGATCTTCTTGGCATAATCAAGGGTATCATATATGAGGGCAAAACCTGTGCTCTTGCCTCCACCAAAGGCTGTTCTGAAGCCAAAGCAGAAAACAACATCACCAGTAGTTTTGTACATCTGAAATATTAATGATAGTTCAAACACTCCATCATATATAATAGTAGTATTGCAATTGTTTCAAAAAATAATCTAGTAATATACCTTCGATTCCCAGAGCCCAGCTAGTCTGGTGCTACAAAATGCAGCAACTCGTAATTTGATGCAAGCAATAAAATTCCATTGGATTACAGCCTAATTTTTTGCATTTCTTGTTTACAATGACTTTTAACACTCAATAATAACGTACATGGAAACAGAAACAATAGATTAATTGACCTGTATATTTTGATTCCCTTCTGGGATCATCAGGATCAAAATATAGACTAATTGATCTTGTGTGTTTGTCTCCGTGCAAGTTATTACTGAGCAAAGTCCAGTAAAGTTCATTCAGGTAAGTAAATTGTTCTCATGCAACACTGACAAGGATTTTGGTCACTTTCAGACAGGAGGTAGTGGCCAGTAGTAACAGTCTGGTCGATCAGGCACTAAAACACCACGAGGCCATGGGGGCATTGACCCATAGAGCTCAATTCCAGTGGAGTCCAGGTAGGTAGCTAGAAATAGGGTTTATTAAAGGGGGCAGAAATCATTTGTCTTTTTTTTTTTTTTTTGGGGGGGGGGGGGGAGCAATTTTTCCCAAGGTTGGTTTTATGGGTCTCTCCAGTAGCTGGTATGCCTAGTGTTTATTTTGGACTTGGAAGTAGATAAATAACTAATGTAGAGGAAGGACACGAAACCTCATCTCAGGGTTTCAAGCTGTGCAGAGGAGCACAGTTGGAAACATTAGGACGGGTTTTCTTAAGACACCTGCTGTCCATGTTCACCTAGCAGTAAATAGGTACCTGGGTGTTAGTGGACTGGTGTGGGTCGCATCCTGGGACAAAATTCACTTAATTTGCTTGAAATACTCTGCATAACAATGGGCATCCTATACAGTAGTACGTTACTGATGTCAGCTGTGGTTTGTATACCTTGTACATGTGCTTGTAGAAATAATTATTATTATATTAGCTACCTAAAACACATTCAAACAAAAATGTTAATACGGTAAACTCTCATACGAGACAACGAGATTATGCTAACTGACCGACAAGGAACATGTACACGATATTCAAAAATAATTTGTGAACAGAGAAAATGGAAACCTACGATTCTAATTCTTTACCTTAGCAAGTTTTTCTTTAATTTCAGACTTGGGTACGGTAGCCCGATCAGGGTGCAGTACATCCACGACCTGGAAAGCACAAGAGCCTTATCATAAAGCTATTCCATATAAAAAAGATAACAAAAGTTAAACACAATTAGAATACTATAATACTTTAAAGCACTATGGTAATAAAATATACATGTATACAGTTCTCGGTACCGTCAAGGTGCATGTGCACAAATATATACTGCACGAGTATATATATATATATATATATATATACTGTGGACCCCTGGTTTATGATATTATTTCACTCCAGAAGTATGTTCAGGTGCCAGTACTGACCGAATTTGTTCCCATAAGGAATATTGTGAAGTAGATTAGTCCATTTCAGACCCCCAAACATACATGTACAAACGCACTTACATAAATACTTATATAATTGGTCGTATTGGGAGCTGATCGTAAACCGGGGGTCCACTGTATTGTGCTGAATAGGTAAAATTGGTCAATTAGCAAGAACTAGTTTAAAATTAAGTCTTTTCTAAAAATTTCTCTTATAGGTTTAAAGATATAATTTTTTCATTGTTATTGTAAAATTAATAATTTTGTACCAAAAGAACCCCAGAAAACTTACCTAACCTTATTATAGCAAGCGCAATTTAATTTACCCTAATCCAACTAGTAAATATATTTTAGTCAATTTTACAATAATTTAATAATAAACAAACACAACGAAATACATTTTTTCGTTAGGATCAGAATGATTTTTGTGAAATTATTGCATACATAGATTTTTGCTAGTCTTATTTGGCAAGAACAACATTGCTATTTAAACCAAAATAGCAAGTTTTACATATTCGGCACGACATATATATATATATGTACGTATATATATACATACATATATATGTATATATACATATATGCAATAAGATAATCAGCACTAACACCACGACACTAAACATCCTCGCACCTAAACAACGCCAACTTCTTCTTTAGGTCAAGGTACGCTGAACAGCGCCTCTGAGTATATAGTTAATTATCAAGCGTAGTACAACCGAACACGTGACAAACTTGTCGTCATGCGAGCGCTGTCTGTCAGCCAAGACACGACCTTCCGAAACACAAGCTTCGGAAGGCAAATAAAGTTTACCTGGCATTTTACTCTAGCTTATTAAACAGATCTGCCGACCAATCCACCAACACAACTCACCAACACGAGAAGCAACCATACTGGCGTACGGAAGCACCGTCGAATGTGGTGAAGTTTAGGATGTGGTCAGCAGGGGAGTCGATGCAAACATTAACGTTGCTACAAATGTTTAAATATGGCTCGGTTAATTCATAGAACAAAAATCACTCTGGATAACTCGTCGGCTCGACCGTAAAGCGTCACAAATCATCCCGAGAGATGACTTTGTTTTATGATGCATCGACCGTTTAATAAGCGACAGATAAATGGAAAAAAGGACACTTAAGTGAATGTATTGATTATTACGATCATAACTAAACGCTAAACCCACAAGGGTCATACAAAATTAAGTGAATACATCGATTACAATCGTAACTAAGCGCTAAACCCATAAGGGTCGTATAGAAAAAAGGGGCAAACTGAAGCAAATACAAACAACACATCACGTATAAGAACATAAGGAGCACTAGCACAGGCCTACTGGCCTATGCTAGGCAGGTTCAAGTCACATCCAACTAGGAGCCCCAGAGAGCCAGTACAACTTCAGTCGCAGCTCCGGAGACACCTTCGACGGCCGCCCTGAAATAATCCACCTCGAAACGCGGCTGCGGAAACGACCGTACGTACCATTTGTTTCCTGTTAAGGAGCCGGTTGGTCAGGAACTTCCTGGTCCTGACGGTGGCGGTCGTCTCTGACTGAAAATAAAAAAAAAAGTGACAATTAAAAAAAAATGAAAAAAAAAATATTATTATTATTATTATAATCAAGGGGGAAGCACTAAACCCGGAAGATTATACAGCACCTGGGGGGGGATGTGGAAGGCATTCAGGCTTAATTCGGGGAACTGGAGCACAGATCCAATTCCCTAAATCAAGAGCCCCTCACCAACATCAAGGAACCTTCCTTGAGGGGATGAAAAAAAAAAAAAAAAAAAAAAATATCGTCGTCGTGACAGTAACGAAAAAACACAGGTGATGATTTTTTTTAACGTTTGTTATTGTTTTATTACTACTTGCAATTAAAAGTAGGCGCTAAACCCACAAGGGTCACGCAGGTGTTAAATGGTTTAAAAAATCTTGTTAAACGAGACACTTGGGCAATATTGGGGTATCTTATATTTTGGAAGTTTTGCCAAACTAGCGGCTTCTTCAGTCCAATGTGGAAGATGAGGAGGTTGAGGTTATCAGTCCCACAGCCTGGAGTCCATCAATCTTTTATTCCCAGAACAAAAATATCTAAAATTTTCCAAATCTCATTTATCAGGTGCTGGTTTGTTTACATTTTATCATTCACTTTCTTCTCCAATTTAACGCTTATATATCGCCTTTTTAACTCTCTTTGCAACGTATATTAATACTTTGAACATTGATCTTTCGTTATACGAGAAAAATAATTCCAAATAATGAAGGATGATGCGAATAAACAAAGATATAAATACGCTCACCTCCTTCCCCATTATTTCGTGTTTGGGATCAACACAGAAAAGAACGTTAAGTTCACGTCCAAAATTATTACCGCGACCGGAAAATATATAAGGAAAATTTTAATATATTTCAGATTCAATTTATAATATCTATATATAATTTTATGTCATTATATATATATGAATATATTAAAAATTAGGAAACTTTCTTATAATGATTATAAATAATTTGAAAGTATCAGTTCATTTTTATTGTTTAAAATTTGTAAATATTATGTTTTTCCTGTATAACATAACTTTTAAACATTATTAAAAATAAACATTGCAATTTCATGAAAAAAAAATATATTTTCTGTGAATAAATCTAACTTTTTTTGCTCCGTTAATTTCCATTAACATTAAATATATCTTCATAATAATTATTTCATGAGACTTTAAATAAATATTTTAAATATTATTTTATAAAAACAATGTTATAAGTAACATTTTAATTAATTTTAATAATTTTTGGGTAATGTTTACATCAGAATTTTTCCGTCTCAAAACTTAACGAATTCTTCAGCAACACAGACGGAGAGGAAAGATGAAGTTCAATCCGGTATGTCAATATATCCTTATTTTACCTCGCCATCTTTGATTTTTATCTGATTTTAAGTGACGCAGAATGTATATTAAACATCCAACTACATTCACTGTAATTTACGTTAAGATAAATATCATAATATGGGTGATAATTTAGAACATAGGAAGGCGGGTGCTGCTCCAGGAGACATACTGGCCCATGCTAGGCAGGTTCAACTCCCCCACTCTTGTTCCCAAATAAACATATTTTTAAAGCTATCTAAAGGCTCTCACACCAACATTGCTACCTGGTAGTGTGTTCCAGTCGTCCAGAGCGCCATTGCTCGCCTGTATCCTTATTAAATGACCCGGATACATGTTTTTATCACGTTATTTATATTCCTTTTATTTATTATTGTCTAACATACAATTCTTTGTCGTCAGTCTATCTTCAGGATAGATAGTGTCGTCAGTCTATCTTCAGGATAGATAGTGTCGTCAGTCTATCTTCAGGATAGATAGTGTCGTCAGTCTATCTTCAGGATAGATAGTGTCGTCAGTCTATCTTCAGGATAGATAGTGTCGTCAGTCTATCTTCAGGATAGATAGTGTCGTCAGTCTATCTTCAGGATAGATAGTGTCGTCAGTCTATCTTCAGGATAGATAGTGTCGTCAGTCTATCTTCAGGATAGATAGTGCCTTCAGTCTATCTTCAGGATAGATAGTGTCGTCAGTCTATCTTCAGGATAGATAGTGTCGTCAGTCTATCTTCAGGATAGATAGTGTCGTCAGTCTATCTTCAGGATAGATAGTGTCGTCAGTCTATCTTCAGGATAGATAGTGTCGTCAGTCTATCTTCAGGATAGATAGTGTCGTCAGTCTATCTTCAGGATAGATAGTGTCGTCAGTCTATCTTCAGGATAGATAGTGTCGTCAGTCTATCTTCAGGATAGATAGTGCCTTCAGTCTATCCTCAGGATAGATAGTGCCTTCAGTCTATCCTCAGGATAGATAGTGCCCTCAGTCTATCCTCAGGATAGATAGTGCCCTCAGTCTATCCTCAGGATAGATAGTGCCCTCAGTCTATCCTCAGGATAGATAGTGCCCTCAGTCTATCCTCAGGATAGATAGTGCCTCCAGTCTATCCTCAGGATAGATAGTGCCTCCAGTCTATCCTCAGGATAGATAGTGCCTCCAGTCTATCCTCAGGATAGATAGTGCCCTCAGTCTATCCTCAGGATAGATAGTGCCCTCAGTCTATCCTCAGGATAGATAGTGCCTCCAGTCTATCCTCAGGATAGATAGTGCCTCCAGTCTATCCTCAGGATAGATAGTGCCCTCAGTCTATCCTCAGGATAGATAGTGCCCTCAGTCTATCTTCAGGATAGATAGTGCCCTCAGTCTATCTTCAGGATAGATAGTGCCCTCAGTCTATCCTCAGGATAGATAGTGCCCTCAGTCTATCTTCAGGATAGATAGTGCCCTCAGTCTATCTTCAGGATAGATAGTGTCGTCAGTCTATCTTCAGGATAGATAGTGCCCTCAGTCTATCTTCAGGATAGATAGTGCCTTCAGTCTATCTTCAGGATAGATAGTGCTTTCAGTCTATCTTCAGGATAGATAGTGCCTTCAGTCTATCCTCAGGATAGATAGTGCCTCCAGTCTATCCTCAGGATAGATAGTGCCTCCAGACTATCCTCAGGATAGATAGTGCCCTCAGTCTATCTTCAGGATAGATACTGCCCTCAGTCTATCCTCAGGATAGATAGTGCCCTCAGTCTATCTTCAGGATAGATAGTGCCCTCAGTCTATCTTCAGGATAGATAGTGCCTTCAGTCTATCCTCAGGATAGATAGTGCCTTCAGTCTATCCTCAGGATAGATAGTGCCTCCAGTCTATCCTCAGGATAGATAGTGCCTCCAGACTATCCTCAGGATAGATAGTGCCCTCAGTCTATCTTCAGGATAGATAGTGCCCTCAGTCTATCTTCAGGATAGATAGTGCCTTCAGTCTATCCTCAGGATAGATAGTGCCCTCAGTCTATCTTCAGGATAGATAGTGCCTTCAGTCTATCCTCAGGATAGATAGTGCCTTCAGTCTATCCTCAGGATAGACAGTGTCCTCAGTGTATCCTCGTAGGATAGATGGTGTCGTCAATGTCTTGTAGGATAGACAGTCTATCCTTGTAGTTTAGATTTGTGATACACAGGATCAACTTTATCATCATCGTTGTCCAGCACATTTATATCCATTCCTTTTCGGTCTTTTTTATTATTAAGTCACAAACTAATTAGAGAGAAGGAACACTGCAGAAGGCCTACTGGCCCATACGAGGCAGGTCCAAGTTCCCCACTGGTTTATGCCACTGACCCAACCTAGTCAGATCCAGGTCACATTCACTTAAGGAGTACGGCATCTGACCTAGTAGCACAAGCTAGTCAGGTCCAACTCACACCACTCATGTATTTATCTAACCTATTTTTAAAACTACACAAGGTTTTAGCCTCAATAACTGTACTCGGGAGTTTGTTCCACTCATCCACAACTATTACCAAACCAGTACAGTGGACCCCCGCATAACGATATTTTTTCAATCCAGAAGTCTGTTTGGGTGCCGTTATAGACTGATTTTGTTCCCATAAGAAATATTGTGAATTAGATTAGTCCGTTTCAGACCCCTAAAAATACACCTACAAAAGCATTTACAAAAATACACTTACATAATTGGTCGAGTTGGGAGCTGATCGTTATGCGGGGGTCCACTGTACTTTCCTATATCCTTCCTGAAGCTGAATTTTTCCAACTTAAAACCATTGCTGCGAGTCCTGTCTTGGCTGGAAATTTTCACCACGTTATTTACATCCCCTTTATTTATTCCTGTTTTCCATTTATACACCTCGATCATATCCCCCCTAATTCTACGTCTTTCTAGAGAGTGCAGATTTGGGGACCTCACTCGATAAATTCCACTGTGTGGGCAAAATGTAGTCGGTAAAGGATCGTATTGTTTATGTTCTAATGATCTACTGTGTCTAATATACTTAAACTCTTCTAATTACTCAGACCTTCAGAAAACGAGTGGAAATCGGACGGGTGGTGTATATCAATGAAGGTCCCTACAAGGGCAAGCTGGCAGCCATCGTGGATGTCATTGATACAAATAGGGTAAGACGGTTTTTTTTTTTATATATATAGATTTTTACTATGGGGTATAGTAGCTTTAATACTCAAGGAGGTAGGTATCTTGATCCTAGAGAAGGGCTCCTGATCCCAGGAATTTGAGCTTCCCTCTTCCCTATGTCTGATCTCATTACCTCCCATTCTTAATTGCTCTTTGACCCATACAGGTTTTGAGCTGTCATATTAATAATATTAATATTACAGTACAGTAGTCTTATAAATAATCAGATGGAAGATTGTGTATCTGGAGAAGTGCAGGATAAGCCCATTGAAAATTAAGATTGCCATAAATGTTAAGTGACAGCATCCGAGATCTATCTCTTAAGCTAATTGTTGTATCGCTGGATTTTTTTTTTTGGGGTGGTGGGGGGGGGCATTCATGAGCATGTCCTAGGAAAGTGGCGGGTATGGTGGGTTCAACATGAAAAAAAATGAGGGTACAGATGGTGTACCTTGGTATTAACAATATTGCAATGGTAGTGTATAAATATACAGTGCTAATACGTATGTTTTTTCCAGGCCTTGATTGACGGCCCGTGCACTAATGTCCCTCGCCAGGGGTTCAAGTACTCTGAAATGTTTCTTACAAAGTATACGGTGAGTATTTGTGTTCTGGTCTAGTCACAGTATTGTGCCTTTTTATTCTCGAGTTTAAATGATTGACGTTCCTCTTTAATTATTCTTCGTGTGAAACGTTTTAATTATTCTTCGTGTGAAACGTTTTAACTATTCTTCGTGTGAAAAGTTTTGACTATTTTTCGTGTGAAAAGTTTTGCCTTGTGCATAATTCTTATAATAATTTTGTTATTATAGGACCCGGCTATCGTGACCTTAGTGTTTTACTTGATAGTGTTAATAATTGATCCGGACAAGTGTCAGAAATTTTAGTCCAAAAAGTTTTTAATGTTAAATTGTGAATAAACGGTTAAGAAAACCAAGTTGATAAATGAAATATATTTGTCGGACATTTGGGTATCTTATTCTAGAAAATTTTTGCCAGCCAGTGGATTCTTCAGTCCAGTGCAGAGACAGGTTAAAGATGAGGTAGAGCTTTAGGTAATCAGTCCCTCAGCCTGGAATCAATGTGTTAAATCCATCAACCTTGATTGATGGATTGAACATGTGGACTCCAGACTCAGGGACTGATTACCTCAAAGTACAACTACTCTTCTACTATTCATCTCTGTAGTGGACTGAGGAAGCCATATGTTAGCAAAACATTTCCACAGTAAAGATACATAAGTGTTTCTCAAAGTGTTTCTGCAAAAACTCAATGCACATAAAAGGCCCTAAAATCTGGAATTCATTACCTGTAAATATAAAAGAAACACTACCTGTTTATAAATTTAAGTCTCTACTCAAAGATCACTTACTCACCCAAAACCAAATAAATACTGAATAACTGAACCTTATAAATTGTATATCTTAAATGTTTCTCACAATTATATCACATAAATGTTAAACCTAGGACCCAATCTAACTTTATTATTTTTTAAATACACTACCTAACAGAATTCTCCATACGACTGAATGTACAGCAATGCAAGCAACCATATGACCTGTCTTTGTAATACTCACTTGTGCTTTATAGTTATCTGTTTACAATAATGTTTTATCACTGATTTCATCATTGCTTAGTTAATCTTAAGTTAATTTTAAGCCAGCCCATAATGCTATGCATATAAGTGGCTTTGGCATGCTGCTCTTATCTGTATTTTTTTGTACCTCTGTATGTGTGCTCAAATTGTTAATAAATAAATAAATAATAAATAAATAAATGTTTCACTCATTTCTGAATGAGTGTTTTGTGGGTCCCCCCCCCCCCCCTTGCTGGGACATGGCTCCTCAGATAAATAAAAAACACTATTTTAGCTATAATGTATAATATACTAGGTCTTTTTTCTTTTCTTTTTTTAATATTTTTTTATATATATATATATTTTATTTAAAACAGTGAGATACACAATGATAAATGTATATTAAAAACCCACAAAAGAAAGAGGTTAATTTTACAATAATCTGACACGACCAACGATACCGTACAATATAATGGTAATACACCTTACACACAAACAAAGTATTGACAATGGTTGTATACTCAGACACAACACATTATACATTATTAAAGAACATGTCTAACTATGTTGTATATACAAATGTCAAGCACACATGGGTAAGTATATAGACTGTATAATAAATCATTGTGTTAAAAACAACACACAATAACACACACACACACAAGCACACTCGTACACACCAACATACACCTAGGTATGAATGAATCGACGACAAAAACATCCAAATATAACAAATACGATGTGTTATTTTACATCTCAACAAATAATGTAATCAATTACATGTAATATCATATTATTTTTTTATTATCACACTGGCCGATTCCCACCAAGGCAGGGTGGCCCGAAAAAGAAAAACTTTCACCATCATTCACTCCATCACTGTCTTGCCAGAAGGGTGCTTTACACTACAGTTTTTAAACTGCAACATTAACACCCCTCCTTCAGAGTGCAGGCACTGTACTTCCCATCTCCAGGACTCAAGTCCGGCCTGCCGGTTTCCCTGAACCCCTTCATAAATGTTACTTTGCTCACACTCCAACAGCACGTCAAGTATTAAAAACCATTTGTCTCCATTCACTCCTATCAAACACGCTCACACATGCTTGCTGGAAGTCCAAGCCCCTCGCACACAAAACCTCCTTTACCCCCTCCCTCCAACCTTTCCTAGGCCGACCCCTACCCCGCCTTCCTTCCACTACAGACTGATACACTCTTGAAGTTATTCTGTTTCGCTCCATTCTCTCCACATGTCCGAACCACCACAACAACCCTTCTTCAGCCCTCTGGACAACAGTTTTGGTAATCCCGCACCTCCTCCTAACTTCCAAACTACGAATTCTCTGCATTATATTCACACCACACATTGCTCTCAGACATGACATCTCCACTGCCTCCAGCCTTCTCCTCGCTGCAACATTCATCACCTGTGCTTCACACCCATATAAGAGCGTTGGTAAAACTATACTCTCATACATTCCCCTCTTTGCCTCCAAGGACAAAGTTCTTTGTCTCCAGAGACTCCTAAGTACACCACTCACCCTTTTCCCCTCATCAATTCTATGATTCACCTCATCTTTCATAGACCCATCCGCTGACCCGTCCACTCCCAAATATCTGAATACATTCACCTCCTCCATACTCTCTCCCTCCAATCTGATATCCAATCTTTCATCACCTAATCTTTTTGTTATCCTCATAACCTTACTCTTTCCTGTATTCACTTTAAATTTTCTTCTTTTGCACACCCTACCAAATTCATCCACCAATCTCTGCAACTTCTCTTCAGAATCTCCCAAGAGCACAGTGTCATCAGCAAAGAGCAACTGTGACAACTCCCACTTTATGTGTGATTCTTTATCTTTTAACTCCACGCCTCTTGCCAAGACCCTCGCATTTACTTCTCTTACAACCCCATCTATAAATATATTAAACAACCACGGTGACATCACACATCCTTGTCTAAGGCCTACTTTTACTGGGAAATAATTTCCCTCTTTCCTACATACTCTAACTTGAGCCTCACTATCCTCGTAAAAAACTCTTCACTGCTTTCAGTAACCTACCTCCTACACCATACACTTGCAACATCTGCCACATTGCCCCCCTATCCACCCTGTCATATGCCTTTTCCAAATCCATAAATGCCACAAAGACCTCTTTAGCCTTATCTAAATACTGTTCACTTATATGTTTCACTGTAAACACCTGGTCCACACACCCCTACCTTTCCTAAAGCCTCCTTGTTCATCTGCTATCCTATTCTCCGTCTTACTCTTAATTCTTTCAATAATAACTACCATACACTTTGCCAGGCATACTCAACAGACTTATCCCCCTATAATTTTTGCACTCTCTTTTATCCCCTTTGCCTTTATACAAAGGAACTATGCATGCTCTCTGCCAATCCCTAGGTACCTTACCCTCATCCATACATTTATTAAATAATTGCACCAACCACTCCAAAACTATATCCCCACCTGCTTTTAACATTTCTATCTTTATCCCATCAATCCCGGCTGCCTTACCCCCTTTCATTTTACCTACTGCCTCACGAACTTCCCCCACACTCACAACTGGCTCTTCCTCACTCCTACAAGATGTTATTCCTCCTTGCCCTATACACGAAATCACAGCTTCCCTATCTTCATCAACATTTAACAATTCCTCAAAATATTCCCTCCATCTTCCCAATACCTCTAACTCTCCATTTAATAACTCTCCTTCCCTATTTTTAACTGACAAATCCATTTGTTCTCTAGGCTTTCTTAACTTGTTAATCTCACTCCAAAACTTTTTCTTATTTTCAACAAAATTTGTTGATAACATCTCACCCACTCTCTCATTTGCTCTCTTTTTACATTGCTTCACCACTCTCTTAACCTCTCTCTTTTTCTCCATATACTCTTCCCTCCTTGCATCACTTCTACTTTGTAAAAACTTCTCATATGCTAACTTTTTCTCCCTTACTACTCTCTTTACATCATCATTCCACCAATCGCTCCAATCATATATTACGTGTAATAGGAAAATACATCTATACAAATACCAATGATTGGTAGACAAGAATAAAAAAGGCAAAACTTAACGTTCCTCACATACAAAATTTTTTACATTTTTATTAATGACATCATCACATTGGAGACATACATACAACATTCACAAACGCAAGACATTTACACACAAACGCAGCTGACCAGCCCGTTAGATTACCCACTGAACAAACACAAATTATCTCAAATCCTTTAACTCTAACGCTCTATATGCAGACGGGAAATCTTTCTCCCATCTCCCCTCATATACCAACTGATTTCGACACTTAGTTCTAAGAATTGTTCCTGCTAAAACCCGGATTCTGCTATTACCTTCAACATGCCTCATAGCCGGAAATAAATGGTATCAAATACCGACACAGTGGAAATATAAACACATATGCAGTATAATGTGATCCTTTATTGACAACGTTTCACCCACACAGTGGGCTTTTTCAAGTCACACACAGATCCGTGTGTGACTTGAAAAAGCCCACTGTGTGGGTGAAACGTTGTCAATAAAGGATCACATTATACTGCATATGTGTTTATATTTCCAATGCCTCATAGCCCATGACACATGAATATAATCGGCTACGACATACGACACTGCACATTGTACACAGATGTCAACCCCACCCACATCAAAACTCAACGCCCTAAGTACTGACAAACCTACCCCCCTCCCCACCACCACCACCATTCGTAAAACCCTGCTTAACCACGCACGTACTATACCTAAATCTTCACAGAAATACACAACATGAAACGCTGATTCGTCCTCCCCGCACGCTGAACAACTCTGGTCCTCCTCTACATGCCGATTAGACAACACCACCTTGGACAGCAGAATCCCGTGCAAAAATTTAAAAACCACTTCGCGTACTCGAGGAAGGAGACGTAACTGATGAACCCGCTTCCATATATCACACCACGCGTACATGGGGAACATTCCCTGAACTCTCACCTCAACTTTCACCATACCCACTCT